ATCATCATCATCATCATCTTCATCTTCATCACAATCATGATCATCATCATCATCATCGTCATCATCATCATCACAATCATCATCATCTTCACCGTCACCATCACCATCATCATCATCACCATCATCATCGCCATCACCATCACCATCACCATCATCACCAGCACCATCACCATTCACAATCACCGTCACCATCATCACCATCATCACCATCATCACCATCATCATCATCACCATCATCATCACCATCACCATCATCATCATCATCACCATCATCATCATCACCATCATCATCATCACCATCATCATCACCATCATCATCATCATCACCATCATCATCACCATCTTCAACAGTATCATCTTCACCATCACCACCATCATCATCACCATCACCACCATCATCATCATCACCATCATCAAGTTCATCACCATCACCATCACCATCACCATCATCACCATCATCATCACCATCACCATGATCATCATCATCATCATCACAATCATCATCATCTTCACCATCACCATCACCATCATCATCATCACCATCATCATCGCCATCATCATCACCATCACCATCATCATCATCATCATCATCATCTTCATCATCGGTCATCATCGGATATCAAGGCTCTGACCACGAATGAGCCCTTTAGCAGATGCTACCGTCGGGCGTGGTTTCCCGGTTGTCCTCAGCAAAGCATTGACTTACACAGCCAAAACTCCCTCCCAGGAAAAAAGAATCCACATTTATCCATATTTGTACATTGATACATGAGCAATTGTTGGTCCCTCAAAAGAATTACACCACATCATTAGGGTCAAATTACGCCCTTTTCTCCAAAATATGTGTCTTTTCAATAAACGCAGGTTTTTGTCATGTTTCGCGTTTTCAAGGTTTGGATCAAATTCAGTTGTGTCGGCGATCGCTTCATGCTTGCAGAGGTGCATGAGCATGGGAGCAGTGATTATTGAACATCAAGAAACAAGTGTCACAGTGTCACAGTCAAGCAGCAATTATTTGAGATCCTTTGAGCAAATAAGACTCTTGTTCGCATGAACTCGTCTCATGTTTATTATCTCATTCGTTCCCAAGATATCCGCAGCATCATTATAGGGCCAAGTGGCTGAATTTTTGTTGAACTGCCTGCAGCTCGATGTTCTCCTGATAGATTGAGCTCTCCACAACAAATGGACTCAATCGACCCATGGACCCACGTCAAGCTACTTTCACGAGCGAAGCTGAGAGCGAACATACTGCTTCAACTCGCAGCAAGAAACTGCTTCAATGGTCAGGTTAGATCAGATTCGCATCAGGAAACTAAGTAACATATATATATACATATAGTAACATAGCTGTCATTTCTGTGCTTGCGCCAAATTCTTGGGCATATCAATGCACAGCAGCGCTTCAACAGAACTATGAACATTGATGTTGCACATACTTGGTCAGCAGAAACGCTTCTGATATCCTCTGATGTTCATTCAATGAACAGTGGACGACAACCATGAAAAAGAAGAACCATTCTGAATCATTTCCACAAACTGTAAACTGTCCCATAAAATGAATGTGTACGAAATCTAACTGCTGGTAGCTTTGAGATTTCAACTTGCTCCAATTGGCCACCATTCGAAGATGCGAATGTCAATGATTGGGCATAAAGACCAGAGTTGCATCCAACATCATCCAACAAAACCCTTGTTGAACACGGCAACCACAAGGTCCTGGGCTACCCACCAGGCCCAAAGGCATTGATCCACTCTTGCTCAAGGACTGGGCAGGGTTGATAGATGTTGATAGTGAGTTGGGGGCGAATGATCAGGGCTGGCAGTGCCCAGTTGGCCGTTGCACAGAGGTTCTGCAAAGAAAACAGTGAGCAGATGATAAGGAACAGGAGTAACAGCTGTCTTGTTCTTGGCTGTGCCAACTGCAGAGTCAATCCGTGCAACCCATGGAGATGAACAGCTATCGATAGCGGTGCGGCAGCCTGTCGTGCGCGGGTAGCAATGGACGGCATGCTGGCGTTGCGCTTCATCCTAGGTACCGCTGTCGGCAAAATAGTCTCAGTACTGCGTAGACTGCGTGGACATTCAAGTCCTGTTTCATTCTAGGAGCTTCTGGATTTGTTTGTTGGGCGGGACAAAGCGTCCAATTGAAATCTGCAACTCTTGGATAGCAAACCTTCCAGCTATGCAGTGTACAACACTTTGGCATTCCACAAATATCAACCTAGCAATTGGAAGAGACAAAGAGCAAGCAACATGCTATGAAAGATGAAACTGAAACTAGTTTGCAAGCAAGAGCTGGACATCAAGATCTCCAAACACCCCAGAAGTGAGATCGAACCAACATCTCGTGGAATCACTGTAAGTCACCCTCCGCATCCTTATCATCCTTTCCTGGTATGATGATCGAATATGATTTATATGATTGACAAAGAACTTCTGAGATGTTGCATCTCCATGCATCTCCTTTGTTGCAAAATCTCCTTGCTAGCATCGCCCTAACCTTTGCTCCCCTAGACCTCTGTGACCGGTTGCTGCTTGCCACATCTTCCCACACCTGCATTCTCGTCCCAAGCCAAGGCACTTGGCTTCCAATGCTTGAAACTGAGATAGGTCTGGCTTCTCTGAGCTCCTACTGTGGCTCTCAAATCTGCAGACCAAACTGCAACTTCAAAACGTCTTAGTTTCTTGGCTTGATTGTTTACATATGTTACACATTTGTTAGTCGAACTTTATAAACTACGTATATCATTATATCATGTGACAAAACCTTGCCAGCGGAGGAAAAAACGCGCTCACGTTTTTGACGTTTTATGTTCATCACTTTCGTATTGCTAGTATGTCTGGGGTGGGGGTGGGGGAAGGCAATCACGTTCAGAGCAACTTGCGTTCAGAGCTGTTACGACACATGATTCTTACATGCAAATGAGATGTCGCACTGCATGCTTCCTACATGTACAGGAGCTGTTACGCCATGCGATATTACATGCGAAAGAGATGTCACTCATGTCACGCTACATGCTTTATGCAGGCTTACATTCCGGCGCTATGCTAAGGAAGCCAGTTTGGCAACCAAAACCAAAGACGGTGGAGTCAATCCCAAAATTATGGAATGTGTGAAATTACATGCTTGGAGATGGGAACATACAGGTGACAATCTCATGAGATCTCATGAGTGTCACTTGCACAGCAGTGCATGAGGCAGCAAACTTTTGAAGTGAAAAGGAGCGCGCAATGTATGAAGTGCTCTGCGTTTCTTGACATCAATTCCTATCGTTCATAGAATTCGTTTGTAAGAACAAACAACTGCAAATACTGAGGCAAAGAAAAAGGGCCTCAAATCCGGCGCCTAAAATCACAGGAAAATCAAAGTTGCAAATCAGATTGGCGCTGTGGTGAAACATGATCTTTAAAAACAAAAACTGAGCGCGGAAATCACCCCGGCCGGTGATTGGAATTTGTAACCTGAATCATGTAACAAATACTTGGGACACTGGGAAGGCCTCCCCAATCGCTGCTAAAACTGGTGTTTGGCCTGTCGTTTGTCCCCGTAATGTAAAGTTTCACACAAGAAACAAACACTTGTGGGTTGCATAAATTCTCTACCAAAGTTTTGCGCTGAGTTTGAACAGGTACAGGAGAAACATTTGCGGGATGCATGAGTTCTTGGCCAAAAGCTTGAAGTGAGTCTGAATAAGTAGCACTGACCATTCAGCAATCTCTGGCCAGCTCCACTTCAGACTTTATCGTCCAGTGACCAGTGTAATATCATGTATATACAATATTATATAGTTATATGTGTATATATCCTACTTTATTGAGGTCAGGAGGTCGTGTTGCCGCTAAGTGCGTTTTGGTGATTGTGTTTCTCTTCCTCTGGATGACTGGAGACATCGAAATGCTTCTCATCTCCCATCCGAGGTCCCGCCAGAGCAGTGCTCAGAGATTTGATGTACATAAGCCTGCCGCCAGCAGTTTGCACAGCCAAAAAAGTCTCGTAGAACAGTCCAAACACATCACCAACAGTATACCAATAGTTTTATTTTATACCCACGGATTAGAATCTTAGAATCGAAGCACGGAGGCATTCTGACACATTCCCGCACAGGCTTAACAAACTATTACCGTACCTGATTCTACCGGGAACCCGGTATCATATTCTATCATCACTTGTGCGGGCATCACCTTCCCATGGACGAAAACATTGTATTGTCGGCGAGTATGAAATACATTGAAATACCACATCAAGCCACCTTTGCCTCAAATCCAAGTAAACTATCGGCAGCTTACGGCTGTTTATAATTTGCTTCCCTGTACATGTTATGTTTTCAATAATGATCTTCCGTGTAGATCCAGATTGTTTCCTTTCCAAGATTTGGATTCCATCCTACGGCAATGACTTGGATTCCATCAGAACGTTCTCTCCGTGTCAGCCAGTGTCAGCCTCCAACTCGTCAAGCTCTTCTTGATGCTCCGCATCCTTCCAGGTCAAAGTAAGTGAAAAGCATCAACATCTGAAGATTACTTGTAATATCAAGAATATCTTGAGATCATCCTCTGAGAAGAATGGAGGGGAACCACCAGGCACCAACATTGACTTTTGGGAGTTGTCAAGGCGTCTATGTGTGCCGCTTGCTGCTTGCTGTCACTTGCGGTTGTCTTACACAGCTCAGCATTGCCTTTATATGTGCTGGAATCTTCAAGTGCTTAGTATCAGTTGCCATGGATGCAAACATGTCAAAGTTCCATCTGTGAAAGAACCAACACAAAGGTGAGAAAACACGTGTTCACATTCTTTTTGTTACTCTGCTTCTTTTGTCTTCATGCATTTTTTAAATGCATGTTACAGGCTCTTTTGTTGCCTTCGTTGGGGGGCCGGTCAAGTTTTTCCTTTCTTCAGGCAAGAGACACACATAGAAGAAGCGGGAAAACCTGATACAAACCCAGAATCTCAACTAATTTGTAATTACTGTAACTTGTTCCTAGGTTCTAGAGCAAACCTAGTTGAATTGAATGCCTCCGGACTCCAGGAGTATGGGAACAGAAAGATGTGAGACTTGCCGCGTGGATGAACCAAAACAAGGGCTTGGATGTATTGAATACAGAAAAAGTGCCACACGGTTCTTGACAGACTGAAACTCCCCTACAGTGGGGCGATTTGGCACAAGTGCAACAGTATGGAACAGGATATCGCTACTAATCTGTCAATGACTGGTGTACTTGGTAAAACCAGCAGCATCTGTACTGCAGGTTCACATTGCATTCACGGCAACGGTCACAAGGCCGTTCTTGGTTTCCAGTAGCCTCTTCTGCCAGAGCGTCAATAGCAGCTGCCTGGAAGTTGCCAGGTTTTGAAGCAAGAAATCCTCAATCCACAGTTTGCTGCCAAGCACATTCAGAACATGCAGTCCATTTGCCAAATGTGATGGTCTGCTTTTCCAAGAATAACACATTCCTGTGTGTACCCTTGTGTGCTTTATCAAGCATCAAGACTCACTCGCAACAGCAGCTCCAATGGCTCTCATCACAAGAGCCCTTCTGGGCAACATTTTTGCAGATCTCCCCACTTGGAGCACGTCCTTTTGGTTTTCACATTGCAGCATCAGCTGGTGATTCGTCATCCGGGATAAAGAAACACAATCTACGTGAAATGGATACGTGGTGAGCATTTCTTCAAGCATGTGTTTTTCCTCTCTCTCCCATGGGCTTTAATTTTGCATTGTGATCATTGTGATAACGAATAATAATGAGCAATTGCATTTATTAATCTTTATTTATCTCCGTTTATTGTTTGGATTTATTTAGCTCCTTGGCCCCGCCTCCTCCTTGGCTTGCAATCGCCGGGCTGCCATGATGTCTGCAGCTTGATCCAACCACTCTTGCTCCTGGCAGAATTGTTGCGTGCGCTGGAAATGGTGAATGGCAAATTCCTTCTAGAAATGTTGCAAGGTGAACAAACAGCTATGACTGAGGCATTATACTGTCGCATAGTTGCTTGCCAGAGCTGGCTCAAGATCATCAATGTCCCCATTGCCCTGTCATGTCCTGAAACAAAAACGCAACTGAATTGGAAATCACCCAACGTCTGAAGTATATCATGACCTTCACCAAAATTCAATAAGCTACGATTTATACATTTGAAGCAACTAAGCTCATGTAAAGCATGTGCCATTCCAGAACAGCCCATATCTTAGGATGTTTGGCCAAATGGAACTCAAACTCCAAATCCACAGCACATTCCCAGCCAAATCCCCACCATACACAGTTAGTCTTTAACCACAGCTTGAGCGCCCACGGTTCAAACATCAGGACACGAATGGATATGATGAAGTAACATCTCACAAATCATTGGATTTCAAGGGATTTGCTGATGAAATGACAACCCCCATCCATCACATAATTTATAGATTTACAGTATCATCTTCTACCCGCAAATGGGTATGGGTGAAAGATGTTGTACCGCCCAAACTGGGATGGTGAACACGGGTCTATCGGGCATTGACCCATACCAACATGGTTGTCCTAAATAGGCCACCCCCATGTTTTTTTTCGCAATTCCATTGTTTTTTGTTTTCGAACATCATGTGTCCCTCCACATATCTTGACATATCAGTAAACAAAAAACAGTGACATATGGGTTTATCATGGTATATCATGGTTTATAAGATGTTTAATCTGTATGACATCTGTCTGACCTTTATTGAGCCATAACGACCATGGCATCCAACGACCGCCTGAGAGAAGAGTTGCAGCAGTTCCGTGGAGCGACGCATTCGCTCCTGGTTCAGATCGGCCAAAACATGGATGTCACATGTACACCATATATATAATTATGCATATACAATGTATATATTATATACATATAACGTCATATAACATCATATATAACATCATATATAACAATAATCATCAATAATCTATATTCTGATATTTGATGACATTGCATGTATGGCAATATATGATTATGCTTGATTATGTAGAGGTTCAGTATATTTATACATACTCTCAATCCATTTGCCGCCATTTTCCACCGAAGGCCGCGCAAGCAAGCCTCTACAAAGTCTTCCAAATCCGATGCTTGGAACTCCTCACCTGGCCATGGTGGACTGCAGTTGTGGGTCTTTCGGTGGTTTTCTGCAGCCGTTTTCCATATTCCAGGCCCAAGTTTGATACAACCCTCTGACCCTCTGACATTTCAAGACTCGCCTCCTGGATGACTGCTGCAATTTTTTGTGCTTCCGAATGAACCACCCAGAACCAAATTGTTAAGATCCAGTAATGCAGTTGAATAATGTTGAATACAATTGAATACACATAAAATTTAAGATTATCAGGCTTCCACAAACGAACAGAAGGCAAGACACACACAACATCCTATACGGACTAGATCTCAATATTGACATACTTCATCATATTTCAGCCATCCACGTCAACTAATAAATGTAGCCATCTTGCCGTCCATTTTGGTCCGCTGTCGGAATGCTTTCAAATTGAAAATCCAGTCCTCGAAAGGCTGTTGTCCGAGGAGGTCAGCCATGACAGGCTAAGCATGTTTCCATACATCCAGAAGCAGTCAGGTCATGTCAGATCCACATGTTTGCAGTTGTTTGCACGTCTCCTCAACAACATTCGACTTTAACGATTTGGGAATCGCTTCCAAATGAAGACGCATGTTTTTTGCATATTTTTGCAGCATTTGCTTTTTTAAGAAGCATTGGGGTGGATGAGGTAAATCCGAGCCAGTGTAATGGCACAAACGGGCATATACTCAAGCTCTTGAGGTACTTTTGAGATTGCCTCATATCTATTCATATCTGGGGTCCGGAAACAACCCTCCTCATCACTTGTGGAATTGCCAACTCAAGAAGATATCAAATATCTCTGTCTATCTAAACATATCTGAACTATCCATAACACATGCACAATCGTACATATCTGTACATATCTGAAAGATAGCCCCTGTGATAAGAACAAAATAGTAATTGCATGTAATTGCTACATTAATGTCATTAATTGGTACATGATGTTTCCATTGTACTAAAATAGTATCAGTGTACACTGCAATTTGATTTCAGTTGGACCATCGACTGATCCAATCGCTCTGATTGCTCCTGGCCTTGAAAGCTGGAATCACCACTGTCGGTGATCCAAGGATTGAGGACGGCGGGGTCCACTTAATTCAAACAGCTAAAATACGACTCGAAAAAAAAAAACAACTGACATCAACTGACTCAAAGTTGCTTTCGAAAATTACGCTTTGGAAGTTTGGAAATGTCTTCTGGCATTCCATTTCATGGTTTTTGGAATGTCTTGATCTCTAACAGGTGTTGTCCCTGTATTTCAAATTAGTTTTCAGCTGCAGCTGCCAGCGGAAGATGGATCCTGCTACACAGCACTCACCAGCGAAGTCTTTGGATCGACCAAGCCACCTAGCCATGCCATGGCTCACAAATCTCACAGCAAGGTGGGTTGATGAACAGATGGCTGATTTTAAGATATCTTAAGGCCCTGAAGGCAACAGACTCGTTGTTATTTTTTAATATGTTAAAGTTTTATCTCATGCATTGAGAATCAAATTCATCGTCCGCTTCTCAATGTGTTCAATCTTAGTCCGAGCAAACCAACGACATCAGCAGTCAATTGATTGAATAGAAACTGCCACTCTAACATCTCTAGCATATTCAGGAGGGTCTTTCGAGGCCTTTCAAGCGATAGAACTGTTACTGAGTATTTGCTGAATGGACGTTTCTTGTACATAGGCCATAGGTTCCATTAAACGGCTAAGTGAAGCACATTCAATCTAATGCCCCTGGAGGTCAAATTTGACGTGACGTCAGCGATTGTCCAGAACCTGAGTCCTCTAGGGTGAACTTGCGATTTTTTTTTCACAGTGTTTCGTATACCGAGAACATTAGAGAACATGCTCCCAAACAAGAATCCACATGGATCGTGTGAGCCTGTGTGCCCCCTGTTCCTCCAAGTTAAGGCCAAAAAATCTCCACCAAGACACGGATCACAGTGTTGCCCATTCCACCGCCACGCTTGGCGATATCAAAAGCACTGAGCCCGTCTCCTGAACCCCGTGAGAAATTGGGTGACTGGCATAGACTACTACAGGGAGGTTGCAAAGTGTTGCAAATGCCAAAGCCTGTGGATTTTTTCATCCAATGACAGAAGCGTGCGTATGGTGAAAACATGTGAAGCTCCATATTGGTCATGTTAGAACATGTTGACCTTGTCTTCCCTTCTAGCAGCTCCGCCACCACCACACTAGCACATAACATACTGTAGATGGACAAATTATTCAAACCCCGCATCCATGAGTTGTAGGCTACCCCCTGTATGGTTTCGTATCTTTGTTCCTGATCTTAGGGTTTGATTTATTTCGTCCATTCAAAGGGGCGAAACAAACAAAAAAAAAAACAACATTGCAATTGGGGGTGCGGGGGGTTCTTGGATTACAAGGGTTTGAATAATTCGTCCACCTACGGTATCAACACAAACCAATGTTCTAGCCACTTATCTGAAATACACCAACAAAAACCCGGAGATTCAGACGGCCTAGATCAGCTGCACAGTTGTCATTTATTGTTTCACCAACATTCGCTGTGGTATCTGTCGGATATTCAACCCGGCCCCACGAAAGTCATTGAAAGTCCCCATCTTTGCCCAGCGACCGTTTTGTGCTGTGAGGTCGGCACCAGCTGACACCTTGATGTCTCGTCAACGCGTGACCGATGGATACACTGTCATGGGTGTGCCATGTATTTTGTCAAGGGATTCCCGCATCTTTTGCAAAGGCAAAACCTCATGGAATGTTTTGATACACAACACACATCCAGAGTTCGATGGCATCTACGCCTTGACTTTTTCTCGTTTTGACACGCCAAGTCGCCAGTAGCTGAACAATGTTGGGCGCGTCGTTGGCCACGGCTGACCTCACGATGGCTTCGCTTGGAGTCTTGGAGACCCTGGATCTTACCGTGCCGAAGGGGTATGGGTCCATATGGGTCCAACATGGTCCAACTTTCCAAACCGAAGGGCTTTTGGATGCTTTTGGGTCATTTTTGTTGTGACCAGCCATAAACCCTTGATAAATTTGACAATAAGCCACCAGCTGACACAGCTATGAGATATCGCCACAAAGGTTGCCCGGTGAAGCTTTGAGCAGCTGAAATCCCAAACTTTGGTAGCGTTATGGATCCATGAATGGCACAAGAACAGCTCACACGTTTGAATTGTCCCTGGCAGATTCTTCTTATGAGATTCCATGTAAATTTATGTGTTTTTCCCCAACACTCTTTCTATGCATGCTTATGTCACATCTCCAGTTTTCCTCCTACCGCCTACCAGGTCCTACCACCAAAGGATACCAAAGGATGCCAAAGGCATGTACATGTACATCGCACGAGCTTCGCCAGGGCACATCAACGGCGTTCTGCCCGACTTGGAGCAAGCATTAACCTTGAAAGCAGCGTTGACATTTCAGAGTTCACTATAGTAACAGTAACATCTAGTAACATTGGATCGCTTTGGATGTGGCTTTGAAACCGATGACGTGCGACCATCCCCAAATCCCGAGTTGAAAAAGCAATGTCGTGGGAACTCTGCTAGGGGAAGCACACTGATTCAAGAATCTATCACGTAGGGGAAATGATGGGGAAATGGAGCTTCCACTTCTACCGATTCTACCCCTAGTGGATTTGACCCATGTCACCCGGCTTGGGGTCTTCTCCCTGACCATTAGCAGTGTTGACAGTTCACATCGGCTTTGGCTGTGATCAACTCCTGCACAGCTTCAGTGTAGCCTTTGCGCACGGCAAAACCTAACGGAGAACGGCTGGCCAACGGGGTGGCATGGCAGCCTCCACTGGTAGGATCAAAAGCCTTTCCATTGTCACAACTTCTGCAATCTTGCCAATCTCGAAATCATGCATCAAAAACTGTTTAACGTTTCAATCAACTACCACTACCTTGCTAGAACACCTTTGAGAATGGAAAATCATCAGCCTAATTCTGAAGCCGTTCAACATCATTCTGCTTTGTTCATCTTTGTTCTACATCCTTATGCACCCAAGGAACGCAAAGCTGTCCAACCTCGGCATCATCGTGCAGCCGTCCCAAACTTACCAAGAAGAACGTCATTCCTTCAGGGATTCCTTCATATTCCATACAGTATTGCTCAGGTGTTTCGGCCCAGGACCACACTCTTTGCTTTGACTATACTCAAAAGGGAATCAGACTTGTATTAGCTGCTGATTCTGTGTGCTCGTGTTCTGTGCCATCCAGCAACACATATCGAAGGGCATCAAAGGACAATCAAACAGTCATATGAATCCATACGATATGATGTGCAGTTGGAAATGGATTCATGGATTTAGAATTTAGGCGATCACTATCCTTCTAGTCGACAAAGCCCTTGAATCGGAACCACCAGCGGGCTGGGCATCACTTCGCCGCGGGGCCAAAATCATCTTGTGCATTGACATCAGCACCTTTGTCCACCAAAGCACGAATGCGATTGAGATCACCTGCAGAACATGAACTGTGAGTCAGCCAGCAGGTGTTCACAACTTGTGATATGAACAAGAAAATGGCTTAGCTTTCAAATCCATACCTGTACCAGTACCACCATTAAACCAGGTGTGTACATATGACTGGACCATTCGTATTGTATGTCTAATGAGCGACAACGCAATTCCCCAATATGCCGAAAGGGATCCTTTGGGCATTTTGAGACGCAGCAAGACATTGTTTGCTTTGCAAATCAAAGGGTTTCTTTTGGGTGTGTGTTCCAAAGTGTGTGTGCCCATGCGTCTCTGGCCTGAATTGGCAGCATTCATCAGCATAGTCACGCCACCACTACTGCGCTGATTCGGATCATCCAGCAACGTATCCACCAGCACCTGCTTGAGATGACTGGAGCTGCCAACGATGTCCAACGCAGATTAGCAAGTGAGAAAGGGTCAAACGAGACATGATAACAAAGAAATTATTTGTTTTCAAAAAAAAACAGTTCCTTAAGATCCTTCAATGCAGAAGGAAGAGTAGCTGTGAAATCCGTGGCAGACGAAGCTGAAAGAACACACTTAGACTTCTCAACAACATGAGTGTCTCGTTACGTTGATTCAAAACCACCAGCCCAAAAGATCCAAAAGGTAGCATGGGTGTACAAATGAAAAGGATTGGAAAGGTCGCATGGGTCATTGGACTCACAGTCCCGTGTCCAGTGTCTGACACATATCCCGGCTTTGGATAACTAGCCAGGGGCCACCAGTGCCGACGTCCAAATATGAGTAATGCAAATTTGAAAATCCATGAACCATGGGCATCCCAGCTTTCAGCCGTCAACCGAGACACGTTCTTGTTCACCGTCTTGGAAGAGATGCTGCCGCGCACGCCCACTAAGGCAAACATGGCGAGATACACATCCTAACGTCGGTGTCTTCAGCCAGTGTTCAGTCTCCGTTTTTTACACATGCAGCATCTGACCCAGTGTCCTCCTCGGAAAGGGCGTCAGTCTCCGGTTCCCTGTCCACCAGATGGAAGATCAAGTCAGTGATCCTCTGCGCCATGACTTGGGACATTGGACCATTGAGCCACTTCCTGTTATCAACAAATCAAAATAACACAGCAGTGGTATTCATCTAGTAGTTTAATAGTATAGTGTATCATGGAATTGAGAATTTAGATGGATTAAGAATATTTAAGAATGCTGAACTTGGCCTGAGGACAGTGATAGACCAGATTCAGACAAAAATGGCTATAATGCGGCCGTAGCAAACTGCCTTCCTTTCTGCCCATTTCCCTGCGCCAAGGCTCTTGCCCCGGACGCCATACCAATTGAAAAAAGCATCCTGGAGTTCAGCCCCAGCCCTGAGGAACCTCTGGGTTTCCTGAGATCTCTATGCATATCATAACTCATATACTATGATATGATACTATATGTAACATACACATGTAAATTATTACAAATCTATATCTATCTGACTGAACACATGTATATATGATGTATGTAATACACACACATGTGTGTATAATATGTATATATATATATATTGCATCAACCTTGAAATTGCCGGCTGGAAATGGAAGTGTGGGTCCAGGCATGGACACCTGTTCAAGCTGCCACATTTCCACAAGTGACCTGCCGAACCTGTGAATCAATGATGTGAATGGCTAAAAATGCTCAAATCTTGGCATTCCAGTCTGAAAAAAACGAAATCTATAATAATATATATATATATATACATACCTCCACGCATGCATGTACCTACGGGTTACATATGTAATTTATCATATAGTATATGTCTGTTCACATATCTGCCTATGTGCATATGTATGTGAATACGAATATGATTATGAAATATGCAATGTAATTATTTGTCTGTATGTCAAAACTTCAAATGTACATGCACATCTCTGTATACATTTGTGTTTATAAGTGTGAATTGTAATATATATATAATATATATATATATATATCTATAGATGTTGTGGCATGCATGGATGCGTATATACACTGGATGCAAATGTAGAGACACATGCAAGATCATGCAAGTGTGAAATAGTGTAGATGAGTTGTAAATGCATAATATGCGTGTCAGGTATTGCAATGACTCTCGGGATTCTTCATTCGCCAGTTGTGACTTCCTAGCGCGTCAGAGCTCCTGCATCTCGGCCTTGCACAACCTGACACGGAGCTGCTCCAACAATTCCGAAACAGTGTCTGCTTATGTCTGCTTTCATCGAAGATTCATGAAAATTCGATGGACACAGCACCGGGCCGGGGGCCCATTGTGACCAATCCATCGAGTGGCAGGCCATCGCCATTTTGATCAAAGCTATGAAACGCTTCGTTGTAAAGATCTTTCCACTCCTCAGGCATTTCTCCGGTTTTCAAATGTTTTCAAGCTGCAGTCTCAGTCGGCTGTCCAAATGCATCCAATGCCAGGTTAAAAAGAAGACCTCTGTGCACCTCTTACTCCCATGAGGACCCCAACATCTCCAATTCCTATGGCTTTGGCCCCTTTGGCCAATCGAAATGCTCCACCAGAATGCCTGAGAAGACAATGCTGCTCAGGCGCTTCGAATGTGTGCCATCCATGCCTGCCCAGGAGAGGGCCAAACAAATGCACAAAAAGTTTTGCACACGAATGTTCACACCGTTGGAACATATGCGTATATGTAGAGGTGTAAAGATTGTTTGCTGTGAAAAGATGTGAAAAGTTAATGCTGTCATAGATCTTCAATGATTTCAATGTTCAACTCCTGTCCAGCAAAGTCCTGAGAGTTGATACAGCTTGAGTTCATTCTGCCAATGCTGGACCCTGTTGTATGATCATGTATGACTCTGTGATTCCATGATCTTCTGAGATCTTCTTCCAAGATCTTCGAAGCATTTTCTAAGCCATCTTTCTAGCCATGCCTGCCATCCTGCAGCAATTTTTCCAAATCTGAGCGCGTAGGGCCCAGATCTGCCCGACCCAAGAGTTTCACAAAGGCCTCCCGGCACGATGTACCATGAGTGCTCGGTGGTTTGACATAAGCAATGCAAACAAAGAAGTAAAACTTTGTGGCTACAGATGGCTATATATCTTGTAGTGATTTTTCATGCACCTTCACGGAATCCTTTCTTCCGGGATGTGTGTTGCACAGCATGAAGCTAGTCAGGGTGCATAGATGTTTGGCTAAATCTACCGAAAGAAAGCTAGCCTCTAAATGCAACAGTTTGGCAACAAGACCAGGAAATCCAAAGATTTTCCAAAATCAGCTGTCACTTATCCAACTGAATCCATCCTGCAAGCCCATCACGGCCTCAAAACTTTCCTCCAGCCCATCGATTCGGCAATGAGCCTCCAGAGCCTCCCTCAGTACAAGCTTCGTAAGGTCAAAATGCCAATCTTGTTAGGTTGAACGGATCTCTCTGGGCTGCACTCTTTCCCTGCAGGTTTTCTTCGTTGACTGGACCATCCCATACCATCCCCATCTCCAAACTGCCAAGCCACAGAGGAACTGTGCCCACCTCACAGTCCTGGTAAGTCATGGATCAACTCATGCTGGATTCACTTTGCCCAAGGTGCAATCCTTGAAATCAACATGAATTCCTTCAAATCAACAAAAACCATGTGAATCAACGGGAATTAACGGAAATCAAGGAGAATCAAGGGGAATCAAAGGGAATCAACAGCTCAACCTGACACCTGATCGCGCTCTTTTCAATCACAAGTGAGCATGACAATGTCTCGAAGCCGTTCGAAGCCAAAGGATTCCTGTACCAAGAGGATCCAAGAGGCACTTCGCATGTCTGGCACTGGCTGAACGCTCTGCCGCTCTTGGCATCGCATCACAGCTTCGACATCGCGGAATTCGCCGCGATCAGCTCTTTTTTGAACCAACATCTTCATAAGGTTGTTGCAACAATCGAAACCGACTTCTAGATCATTGAGACACTATCTATGATTTTGAAATATTTTGAACCAAGTTTTCTTGCATTTTCTGGCATGGCAATACTGTAAGTCTCTCATTGGAGGCTACAATGTTGACTCTTGTGGAGATCTTGGGCTTGGGATGCCATGCAGTCATGCCAGACCAAAATCTAATCCACCGGAAGATGAAAGTCAACAACTGTCATTTCCAAATATTTTATGATATAATCATGATATTATCATTATATTATCCTATATTTCAGTGAAGAAGCTGTTCCAGAGAGCACTTCAGCGAAGGCTTCAGTCAGTGTTCATGCGCTGGGAGCGCAACCAGAACTGCGAAGCCCTAACTACGAGGGTGATCAACTGGCATGAACACATGGACCAGCATTGCAAACGAATATGGCAGTGACATGTAGTTCCCCTATTTATTGGAAGATTGGAAGAATGCCGAAGGCACAGGCGCAAGATGGTGCAAGTGTAAGCAAGGACTCGATCAACCTACTCTAAACCTACAAATATGGGAAGAGAAAGTATAATAATATGGTTCATTCCTGGTTCATTGTTTTCCCTTGTCCGAATTTTCTCCAGCGTGAGTGAAGAAGATGAGCACTTATGGTGTGCTCAAAATAATCAAATATCTCAATTTGAATGTTCTCAGCCGTATATTCCACAGATATGATATGATGTGATAGCATGATGATATATATGATGTGCAAAAGAACCGAACACAAAGTTCGCGAAAAGTTTGCTATGTCCGAGTCCATCACCAGAATCAACGAAAATCTCCCAAGCAAAAACTATGGTTAAGAAAGCAGGAGAATCAGGAAGAAAAAAAAGAGTTCGGCTTTTTTGGGAAGCCGCTCCTGGAGAGTGAGGACCGCGAGGAGTGGATTTTTGCACCGCTCTCCTCTGACACACTCAAGCTTCTCTACAAAACTGGTTTGGATCCTTGCGAGAAGCATGATGAGAAAAGATCTGACACGTCGATCTCAAGATTCCATGAAATTATGACACACACACACACACACTCTTTCTTTCCATTTCTGTCTTTTTCAGATTCGACATCTAAGTGGGACAGTCGTGTCCACTTGCACAACACTCGGGCATGTGTCTTCACCATTAGTGTTGCTTGTTCTTGTTCTTGTTTGTGCTACCGTTGCTGGTGGTGCTCTTGGCGTTGTGACTTTTGCATGCGACATTTCCAACCACAAAGATTCAGCCGTAGCTCCTTACCACCTCCGATTCTTCACCTGACTCTCATCGACTTGTGTCATCTCTAGTGTCATCTGGTCACTCATGCGATTCAAGGCCTGATTCGTTCCCCTGTAGGAACGAGTCATCAGCCAGAAGGGCCATAACTCTCCTGCGACCAGCCCTGCAATTCATAAAGGGAGGCCAACTTCCAACAATCCCTGTGTCACCTGGATCTCGACTTCTTCGCAAAGATAAACACCCAGGTGAATGGCCAAACTCCTGCACTGCCATTGGTCAATAGGAACATGTCATGAAATTAATTTCGAGAAAAGAAAGGAAAAACGGCTATACTCAAACACGCTCGCAGGATTCCATAGACACCAAACAGATACTGTACAACGTGTATATATATATATACCTTGACTCTCCAACGACCCTTAATTTTTGGGGTCTTTCAAGAAAAATGGCATTTTTTTCCGAAAGTACTTTTTTTGAAATCAAGTACTGTTTTTTGCATGTTAGTGATGTTCACTCATGGAGGTACAGCTGAAACTGTGGAAATCAAATCAATGTGCCACATTGCCAACTTGCAACTCATTGTTGCAGGTGCCATTTTGTTTTGGCTGCTTGAAGGTGCAGGAGCAAAGATTTCCAAAGTATTGGTTCTCGTTTACGTGTTTGATGCCATGGTTTCGATCTTCCTTTCTTTTTATTTTTGGACGCGCTTTGCTCTTTCATTATTGCACGCATGAGGGTAGGTCTCAACACTCAGTTGCGGACATGCGGGTGCATTGCTCAATTTTGGTGTCAACTTGTCCTTGGAAGATTTGCCCATACAACGCAAACCCGCAAAGGCCTTTTTTTCTTCAAACGTACCTTTTTTTGCTGAGGGCCGTCCGGACGGCGTCCGAAAGTACGGGAAAACGCGTCCAAAGTACGGAAATATCCGTCCAGTTTGGACCCGTCCGAACCAAAAGGACTTTTTTTCAAAAAACGCACCTTTTTTTTCACGTCCGTCCGTCCATCCGTCAAAACTGTTTCAGCAGCTGGCACCACAAGATCAGGGCGAGTGGATGTGCTCAAACCCCGTGTATGTTCCGCATAAGTGTCGCAATGTGCAAATGTCTTCCCCCGCAGCTCATTATAAAAAGCAGGCAAAGGTTTTATATTTCGACACGAATTGTGGATCCAAAGCTGGGCGGAAATCCAGTTTTAGTTCTGCGCGTGGGTCTGAATGATGTGTGAGGGTGCCTGATCCAACATCACACAGGACAAGCACAAAACGCTCACATGATTTAGCTCAGTAATGCTTAGTGTATATAGCCAGCACCTGCTTGGAAGATAAAAGGCCTTTTTTGCATGAAACGGCCCCAAAAAGTATCAAACGTACCCAAAAAAGAGGTGTTTTGCAAACGACCCCAAAAACGAAGGGTAGTGGAGACTCCAGGTATATATATGCATATATGATTCAACTACGGTACCTGTGATGGACTTCTTGGTGTCGTGGCATTGGTGCAGACTGACCAATATTCGCCGGGAAGGTCAGCAGGAGAGCGATTCGTGTGAGAGGAAGTTGGCGCATGGTGTCCTTCCGTCCTTCATTTCCGGTCACCTTGGCAACACTATAGACTACATAATATAGGCTAAATATATCTATAATCATATCATATATGTATACATTTATATACGGTAACTACATTTCAATATACGGACTTTCAATATACGAACAGGTATTTTAGACTACCTCCAGGAAGGTTTTCCTTGGCCCGTGCGGCCATTTAAACATACGGTAATATACGGGAACTAAATTAATATAGGAACTGGTATTTCATACTACCTCTTGGGCCTCGCGGTCTGGCCCGCCCTCGACGCATTCAAATGTCGTTACCGTATATATGATACACACATATGGCAGGGGAAATCCACAAGTCGTGGATTGTCGTGGTAAATCACTTTGTCAGCGCCGCGAAGCAGCTCTTGTGGATTCTATTGGATTCTGCACCGGTTACCTTCAGGACAAAGTGGTAGCACGCTTTGATCCAACACGATGATCATCGATGATCAACTGCCAAGAAGGTCTTTCTGTAGGTGAGCAGGCGCAGTCGGACCAGGCCCAAACGATTCAGATCGAGGCTGGATGCCGACTCGCTAAAAGATGCTTGTCAAAACACTAAATTTGGCCATTGCTTTTTGAGGTGCAAAATACAGAATACGAGACGGATGGCAGGTTCGCTTTGTGCATGGATATGTACTCTACGTGTTGAGCTCGAGAATCAAGACTCTGCTCTGGTTCCTGTGCATTAGTAATAGATTCTTATAGATTTCTAATGATTTCTACTTTTTACATCTTTTTACATCTGTTTACATCTTTTTACATTTTTTTACATCTTTTTACATCTTTTTACATCTTTTTACATCTTTTTACCAGACTGAATGCAAAGTAATCCAGCTCACCCTCAGGTTGCAGAGGTCATCGTGTTGCCGGTCCCTTCTAAGCTGGCCAGGTGGTGGGTTCTCGATCTCCACGCTTGTCCTGCACTCGACCTTGCAAGTGTGCTCACGTCTCACGTCAGGTGCGGGAATCTCTTTCTGGAATTCATTCCATTTGATTATCATTGAGAATTAATTTAATAATAATGGGAATTGATGAGAACTGTGTAACTATTTCGAACCCTGACGAAAAATTGTTTAAAGATGTTTAAAGAACGTGGGTGACCATATCCAGCTCGACAAATCCAGTTCAACCTGCATGCATTTTAATCATTTTTAGCTTTGGTCATTTGTCTGGTTTCTTCGGAGATGTTTCATATTTTTTCTGTCCCCAGGGTTTGGTATTTGTTCAATTCTCTCGCTCAAAATCTTGAGCGAAACCGTGGTGACCGGATTTCCTACTCATTTGATCTCATTTGCATTTGCAAAACCTCCGCAAGATTCCAAACGAGTTCATGTTCAACAGGAAACAGCGACCTGGGCACCTGTTGATTTGTAGTTGCACGTTCAAGTTAGCTTCGCGCTGTCTTTTGCTGCTTCGCTGTTGCGCTCGAGAGGCCAACAGTGTGGATTGTGGAACAAAAAGATGAGAACTATGTCGATCTTTATCTTCAGGAAGTACCTGTATCGTGTTTCCCCCAAAACACCTGCAGGTGCACCGAAGATTATGACAGCCACATGCTCTGCGGAGCATTATGCAACTAGTGCCACGAGGCGACCCACAAGATTTCCTGGGTTCTTCTCCACTTCCTCAGCATTGCTCTTGCGTGGAATCAGTAAGCACAAACTATCACCAGCATTCACCAGCTCATGTGTTCCAGCGTCTTATGTGTTACCTTGTCTTGCACTGTGAGTCCACTGCCTCAGTTAGAATATGGCAAGATATGGCAAGTCAACCTGGTAGAATCAGGTTTTGATCTCGGTCTTCTAAACGTGTCCTTCTCTGCCAAGTTTCATGGAGAAAATGATCAAGCTTGTGGACGTGTTTGTCATGGGACCTTTTGCTTGGAGGCTGGGCCATTCCGGTGTTGTTGACGCCCAATGTCCAACCTTCAGCACCCCTTTCACACCGAGAGATTGAAAGAGGGACACATCTCCAACTGCACCATTTACAGTAGAATTTGTGATGAAGATTTTCCGAGGTCAAATATATGGTCAAATACCCAAAAATCTGGTCACAAACTTCTGCGGAAACTTCCTACACCTGAAATATGGGCAGGTTTCCACTGGACATGGCGGATCCAAACTAAAAAAAACGCACGTTCCTACACTTGCATACGCTTGCTGGGTTTGACAAGCCGCTGCCACTATGGCCATTGCAAAAAAAAGGATTTGAGGCAGTGTTGCTCTCACTATCTCTCACTAACATACTCATACTCAGTCAGAAATGCACACCTCTCTATCTGATTCTATCTTTATATACTTTTGGGAAACAAGAGCAATGGTTTAACAGGCTGCAGCAACATCTAGTTGTCTAGTTGTTGTGCTTCCCATGAGACTCATTTGCATAGCAGGAATGATTAGCAGGGCAGATTTGTGCACTCAATGCAGTGATTCAGAGTCCCATATCTTGCAGCAAAGAAGCTGTTCATGACATCGAGTTTCTCCAAGTTCAATTCGCTGTCAGCGATCACCTGTACGTTGGACCCCACTGATGATCTTCAGCCAAGAATGGGTCATTCCAAGGCATTCCAAGGCATTCCAAGGCATTCCAAGGCATTCCAAGGCATTCCAAGGCATTCCAAGGTGGTTGGAGTGAAGGCTCGGCGGAATGAACAACATGGGATCAAGGAGTCACCATGAATAACCGCAGAAAACCCAAAGACATCAAAGACATCACAAAGACATATGTTCCGTTTTCAGTAGTTTTCAAACAGCATCAATTTAGCTGCCTCGAGATCAGCAACAAGGCTCAGGGAAATGTGCGACAGGAAAATCTTGAAGGAATCCATCAGGAAAGGGGAAAACTATTCGACATTATTCGACTATGCCTCTTTGCCTGCTCTGTCAGTTCATTTTAGTTCAACGATGTTCAGTGTTTGTGCCATGCGGCATTGTCTCCCAGTGATGTTCATGGGATTTGGCAGGCCTTGCAGCTAGCTAGCCAAGTCATGCCAAGTCTGCATATTTTCACGTACTAATGGTCAGGGAAACTCAGCAGTCACCAGCAACCAACAGTAGCCAACCTGCTTCTCAAGGCTTCCCCTATCATTGTCGCCTAGCTTCCTAGATTGAATACTCACAAGTCGTGTCCATGCTTGTGTTCCATCACACCGAACACCTCGAAAACATACAAGGATCAAAAACGAACGTAGCTCTCAGGAATGGTAAAGGTGGGGGTCTATCAACACGGTCACCTTTCTTTTCTCTTCGAACTGACCATGTCGCATGAACAGAAATCTGCTTGCAGTATCTTGCAGTACAGTAAAACTCTTAACCAGAGACAAACTCCCTTCAGCTTCATAAGCTTGACATGACACGAACCCCTGTTCCACCCAATGGATCGAAGAGAAGTACACTGCTAAGTTAGCAAAGTTGTGGCATATGATTCCGATGATTCCCTAACCCCAAGCCGGATGGAACGTCATGGAACAATCGAACATCAGGGAATCTGACCAGCAACTGTTGGCAAACAGGCAGCAAATTGCCTTGGCTCCAAGGAATTTGCTCGATGGCTGATCAGCGACGTAGCTAGCAGTGCAACCCATGGCGCAGCTTTGCACTGACAGCGAGTCACGAAGCACAGCACTCCACACTGTGCGCAGCCAAATGGGTCACAAGAGGTGAAAAAACGTAGTGACTGCTGTTTGAATGCACTCAAGTGGTCAACTTAGATCCAGTAAGTCAAACATGGTGTTTCATGGTTTTAAGCAATAAATTATCATGTCTGATTCTTAGATGTTCTTAGTTTCTCAATGTTTCTAAGATTTGCCAAGGCCTGGCACTGAGCACTGATGCCAAAAGATCAGACGTGCGCATCAAAGAGCTGGCAGCAACTTTAACAGGTGCTTCACGTACCTCCGAACCTTCGCTTCATAGGTGCAAGGTGGCTGAATATGCTGAATATTGCTGAATGCTTTTGATGACTCTTACACAGAAACCCAGGGCTCGGCCAGGCGTGTCCTTCAGTTTCCGAATCTTTTCCTCTCTGCCCAGGGGAAGAACCAAACTCTCCAGACCTTCATAGGACTGCGCCTCACCGGATCATAGAGACAGGAGTCCCAGGGATCTGCGCTATCCATATCTATCCATGAGGATGTACGGTGATTCATCAGAAGTGAAATGTTTCAAGGCCAGGAAGTTCGCATGGAACCAATATCATCCAATATCACAATATGTCTCCCTGCAGTTTAGTCGCTCCAAGGTCTGGTTCTGAGCAATAATAGAACTTCAAGAAGTGCGAACCTTGCCAGGACATGACGGACATGTCCAGCTTTGGCTGTCCTATAGACACAGTGGTCGACGTACCATGACGTTCCATCCTCAACAAGAAGCTTATACAAAGAATGACCAACTGATACTGTACCAACTCTATACTTCTTTTTCATCTTTTTCACTTGGCATGATTTTGATAAAAAAAATTGACTCTTCGCACCATCTTTGCTCTCAGCAAAAAAAACTATCTTCGAGCGCAGTTCCTATCCTCGTTCAAAACACATCAAACTTGGTACGAGTACTCTGTGACATGCCTCACATGTTGTTTGGTGGTACCATCCCTACTGCAACTCGGCTTACTGTAAATTGTAGATCCTGCGATTGACCAAACAGGGCAATCAGGCAGTGCCACCGAATAGTCTCACGAACCACTCAAAAAGGATGATGGGGGATGCATTTCTATTGCATACAGTATCGAAGGTTTCCAAGTAGGGGTCTGATATACAACAGAAGCTATAGTAATTATCCTGGAACCTGCAATATGACCTTTCACATCCTTTCACTACATCAGCCTTTGAATGTCATCTGAGTCATCTGTTCTAAACATCCATGAACATCTTGAGCACCGACATAGAAAAGCTCTGCTATCCATTGCTATCGGCTCTGCTATCCCTGACTGGGTTCGCTGGCCCTGGCTCTCGTGCAATTCCAAGGCAAAGAAGGCGCCAAAGCCGATCTTTTTCAGCTCAATGCCTCGATTCCGATTCCAGCTGGTCGCTGTCTAAGGTTGTTAAATGATTCTAATATATCTAGTCTATATATATATATTTATAATATAGACATATAGATATATTTTATAAAGATAGATATTATATATATATAATATATATATATGGGTTATGTGAAATGGGCTTGGAGCCTATATTAGTTTTATTGTGAACTTGTGTGAAACATCCAGAGATTCTCATCTCAGTGTGACTTGATGCGATAGCTTTCACAGTACTTAAAGATAAAATGCGCAGCACAACTTTGTAGAGCCAAGTTGCCAAAGTGAGCTGCCAGCGCACACATCGTGGTATCGTGACCTGAAAATGGCAAGACTCCAGACCTGCACTGCAATGCTACGAGTACTTCCTGTGTGTTTTTTTTCGGGCAATCTATACAGTATGCACACCCAAAAGAGCACCTCAGTCCGCAGAAACCTCTTCATGGGGGACAGCATGCCTCTAAAATGTCTTAATCATGCTTAATTTACTTAATCCTCATGAAAAAGACTGTCAAGGGACAGCGCACTGCTGGATTTCAGGCGAGAGGCAGGAAAATTGCACAAATCGCTGGTGGCAGAGGTCTTTGGCACCTGGGAAGCGTGGCTCTTGTTACAGTATCTCTTGTGGTACTGGGGAGTGCACCTCAAAAATCGGGGGCCCAGAACTGGAGCCACTTTCAAACTTACCCCGCACTACATATTCTAATGATGCAAGTTTCTTGATGCTTCTAGAAGATAAAATAACTCATGCTCATCTTGTCTAAATCACTCAGCATCCCCCCAGAACGGGATGGCATGTTGGGACTGGTTCTCTCGCCACGAGACTTTCATCCAAATGTCGCCAGATCTTGTGGCCCAAATATCCTGCCAGGCATGCGACCAAAAACTGCACAATTCCCCATGTTTGTCGTAGACTTAACCGACTTAACCTTTTTGGTGCTTTTTCTAGTCAAGACTACAGAGGTCTCTTGATTGGTTTGTTTCGCGAGCTTGCGGGTTCGTAGGGAATAAGGTCTGCCGAAATGCATAAGACTGAACCAGGTGGACCAGCAGAACAATAAGAATTTCCTGTTTCAATCTGACCTTGGAAAGAATATTCGTGACACTTTTAGTAAAGATCTTTACGCAGTCTGTAAAACTTTAAGCCCGACAAACTCCGACGAACTTAACCTTGCGCGCAAAGATGTCCAACCATTTCCTACGTGTGTTTTGACGTTTTCGCCCCTAAAACGCATGGAAAAAACAGCACGCAGAAAGTAAAATCGCATTTTTATAACCAGTTTTTCCACTTTGGCAACAATATTTTCACGTAGCAAATTCGGCCCCGACGAACCCCGACGAACTCCGACGAACTCCGGCGAACTCCGTTCCTGGGTCATCTCAGAAATTTGATTTCTACAGGGATGCCTGTATTTTTTTCCTGATTCGTTTTAACCTACCACAAAGCGACACACAGCGCCTGAATGCCAAAGTTCCTTCCCAGCTGCTACCAACAAGGACGGGGTCAGGGTCATACCTTGTGTTCTAGAAATCCCTTATTCCCAACGAACCACGTTGCTCGCGAAAAAAGCCGTCTCTTGGAAAGCCTTTTCATAAAAGCTAGCCAGCATGAAAATCCATCTGGTCAGAATCCAACTGCGGGCTGTTTTTTTATATTTATGTTTGATTATTTTTGTACATCTGTATACATCTGTGCACTGAAACCTGACATTGTTCCCTTTGTTGATTCTCATCTCCCATTGGTGGCCTGCAGCCTGCCTTCCATAGGAACGGCTGCAGTCTCCTTCCGCATCCCCGAACCAACACCTGTGGACATCGTGGACGAAAATCCAGGAAAGCACCATGTACATTATCCATCATTATCCATCCTTGTACCACTGTCAACTTGCATGTGCACCTTGCAAGTCTGTTGGCATCTGTTGACTCTATATATATATGTATTATATGAATTACTATGACAAATATTGATAAATGATATCTAAACAATGGAGGCAGTGGGCCTCTTCACCTCATCGGCGATCTTCCGCAGCATGTCCTGTTCCTGGAGATATCTGGAGATTGAACAATAAAGCAATGGCAGCAGTGACACTCACCTTTGTGCACACCTCTCTCCACCAAGGACTTAAAGAGTGCGAACCCAGGCTAAATGACATAAACATCAACATAAACATGCAGCAAGCAAATGACCCCCCAGGCCAACCCTAGAATTAGTTTACCATGCTTGACCAGGTCACCATCAACCAATACATCAACCACATCCATAAGTCCCATGGCTGACCATGGCTCCTTGTCTGACAACTCTTCTCCAAGCTCATTGGGCAAGATTGGTCGGTTATGAGACTCTTCCTCAGCAGCTTCTGAAAGGTCACCCACTGCGATGGGCCTTATGACGAAGTTGGGCATAAACACAAATAGTATTAATACATAACCACATTAATCATCATTAATCTATATCCATGTTGTGCTCATGTTTGCTGTACATCTTTGATATTGGTTGATCATCTTGGTGCTTCACCCCTTCTCTGCGAGCATCGATGAGCACCTGCGTGTCGACGTCTTTGGCCGCTAAAAGCCTCCGCCATTCATCGCCGCTGGCGAGTTTGGGCTCTTGCAAGCGTTCCTCAGAACAGTGGCAACGTAGTGGGTATTGGAAGCTATCTGGGATTTCAGGTTGGAAATGTTACTTGCAAAGAGTTTGCCTCCCTGGAAGTGCTCTTTGCATCAGATTGGATTTGAACTGTGACCTCCAGCAGATTGATAACACGGCTTGCTCCCTCAACCATTGTACAATATTTCACAGATCAAAAGGCCAGGTGAAATATTCCAATCCTGCCCCTTGAAATGAAACGAATATGTTCGGTGAGACGCAAATAGGGTATCCAGCAACTCGTTGTATTCAGGTGCGTCCTTGGCGTAATTCAAAAAGTCTGATCTCTTCAAATTCTCCTTCAGGCAAAGAGCTATAGCGGGAAGCGGCAGGGGATTTTTTTTGTGCAAAAATGTGCAAAAAGCCAATGCCTACACATGGATGATAGCTTGCGTCTTCGTGATTTGTGAAGCAGACTGGCCAGTAGACATTATCAGCCAGGCTACCAGCTCGGAAATGAGTTGAGTGGTAGTCAAAATTATAGAACGGAATTAGGAGTACAAAAGTACGGTATTTTACCGTACTTGTGTACTCCTCCTTGACGCGAATTCCGCGTGGATTCAGATGCCTGTTTTATAATTCATTGGCTCTTCTACAATTAATTTGGCCGTTCTATAATTCTGGCACTGACTGCAGATTGTGTGCGTGTTAAAGGTATAATATTTACTATCTTGCTGGGACCCCGGAAAAATATGACACAGAATTATAGCACACTTACTTTTAGAACGCGCAATTATAGAACAGACTTGGTAAAGGTGAGAGTTATGGGGGAAAACACGATTATGGAACACAACCAGAGACCAAGAAGAATTGTAGAATAAAAATGAATAAATAAAAAAATGGGACTAAGCTGAGTTGCTTTTCTCCCAGTTTGCTGAGGAATGCGGAATTACGGAACCAGAGGGTAAGGTATTTAACCGTAATTTCGTTCTCCTCAACTTCCGTTCTATAATTGTGACTACCACCATAGTTGTGTAAGTATCAACCAGCCAACCAACCGTTTCACCAGCTGTTGGTTGCTATGACGCAAGATTGAGATAGATTAAGTCGTGTTAAATCATCTTATATAATTGTTTCTGTCACTGCTGTAAATGCCTCCACTATTTCTTGGCTTCGCGATTTCTGTCCTTGTTCCATGTCTTGTACGCCTGGCCAAGCCCAGAAACTTTGAGCTTTAAAGGCCATGGCCACATCAAACTCCTTGGATCTGCTAAGACTGTAGCACTTGCTCTGTTTTGCATGAACCCCACACTATTCCCATCCAAATTCTTCACAAAAGTTTATCATAAAAATGTGAATCCATGTCCCTTCACCCAAACACCAGTCTCCCATTCCTCCACACCAACCGTCAGTTCCAGTACCTTGCCATTCGCTACAAATCATGGCCGTCATGGCCTCCTTATTGAGCTTCCACTCGTGGAAAAGTCGATCGTCTCCGGAAGATGCATCCTCCACATAGATGGGCACTCCAACCTCGTCTTGGGAATCACTCCAATTAGGTCACCAAACCTGTTGCATTTTGCATGCTGTCAGTGGCCTGTGCCAGTGACCAAACTTGAGATTCAAGCATGTTGAATTGTGTATTATATATATATGTGTGTATACATATTATATAATTATATTATATATATGTATATGGATTCAGGTTATGTCTGTGAAATCTGTCATTCATGTAACTTGTTGGAGTGTCTCTGAAATCCTGCGTAGCCCCCACTGCCTCATCAGAACCCCCCTCAGCTAAAAACAAGTGGCTGCTTGCTTCAAAGCTTGTGCGAAGACCCTCTCCGAGCGGAAGGCGAAGAAGATGGAGGCGCCAGGAACCAGACCTCACGACACAGGTCATCAGACCTCTGTTTTCATGTCCCAAGGGAAGACTATATGCGCAAAATTGTGCAAATCAAAGTAACACTACGAAGTTCCGTGAGCATACCTAGGCATACTTCACACAAATTCTTGCATACTGAAACAGTCCAGTACAGGACAACTGCCTCTGAGCTTCTACACCCTCTTTTCTAGCGGCATGTTCTTCCAAAAGATGCAGCCTAGTGTCCCAGCAACAAGGACCAAGCGCTCTGCAGGGTTCTCTGCACATTGGAAGTGTACCTTCTGCACCGGCGACGCCGGCTACGCATGGATAATCCCATGCCAAAGTCAACTAAGACAATTCTTGCAGATGTCTCTATGTTATTAAGGCCTCACCCTCACCCCTCATAAAATCATTCATAATCCCTCATACCCAGCAGTACTGGCAGTACTTCAGCTTCCCCTTTTTCTCAACCTGGGTGACCTCCTGGTTGGATGTCGTGTGGTAGCTACAACCAAGGGACACTGCCACGGCACGGCCATCAACTTTCTGCACGCCGTCGAAAAGGCAGCTGCCGTTGCCTTTTTGAAGGTCATTGAATGAGATGAATGAGAGGCTGGTGAACCAGTGAGTGAATATCGGAAGACGCAGTGTTCGAGATAGTATTCACACATAGTGTCCATGCTTTTGGCTGACATGAAGTCAAACAGCTCAAGATCTGTGCTTCCGGAAATTCAGAGAATAACTCTGTCATGACTCAGGCAAGCTCGACATCAACGCGCACATTCAAGCCGAAGAACTGATGTAACGCTTTCGAAGCACAATTCCTGCACAACAGCAATCATACAAATCATTTTGGTAGACCACGGAATCAACCCCGAAGAAAGCAACCATGATTGCGAGACATGCCAGCCAAGAGGGTCAGGAGATTCAGGAAATGACAGCCATAGCCAACCGAGATCAACCGAATATGAGCAGCGAGCAAGTGCAGAAACTGCAAGGATTGTCGTCAAAGCTTATTTGCCTAGTGCATCCAACAACCACAGCTCAGATCCAACAAGATCAAATCATGGACATGCAATGGTGTCTCTCCAATGGCGCCTGTATCTGTCAACAATTTCGCACCCAATGGTGTCAAATGGCCCTTGTAGCTGTCCCAGAATTGTGCCCTCACGGGCCATCCCAAGTTGCCCGGACCTAACGACAGTGTTGGGGAAATTCAGAGTTTCTAGTTGAGGGATGAGTGCATGTAAGTGTATGACATACAAGTCATCCAAGTATGTAGTCCAATTTCACTTGTCTTTCGTGTAGGTTTCAGTTATATCTAGTGTATCAATCGGTGGACTCTGCTCTGCAAATGCGTCCAGGGTCTCTGAGTGGAGTTCAAGGTCCTGTTCCCTGGACCCTCGCCTGATGGTTTGGTTGGAAAACGCGTGCCATGTCGGTGTACAATCACCTGGTCCAGCGGATTGAAACTTCTCTATCACTTGCATCCAGCAAATGATTGTCAATCAATCTAAAGTTTGTCTGCGGAGGCAACCAGTGGGGCCAGTTCCAGAAAAATGATTTGCAACGATATTATAGATGTTTCCATATGTACTTATTTGAGGACTTGAATCAAACAATTATCCTAATTGTCCTAATTTGGTATATGTACTTGTTTCAAACAACTATTACTGAATAAACAAGTTGCTGAAAACTTCACAAAAATGCGAACCTACAGTGTTCGTTCAACGCCAAGGGGCCACTTGTTTCAACGTCTTCTTGTCCTCCTCTGGCAAGGGCCAAACTGCATCTGCACTTGATCCTCAGTTTTGATAGTTTTGCATAGAAACAATTGATATCAAAGCTGGATCAGACACAACAGTTCCTGTGGTTGGTCTAACAAAAGGAATCAACAGTAGAGCCATGTCAATCCGGGAAATTTAGGTGCATTGTGCTATTCCTTGCTGGAACGTCCGGGAAACAACACATTTGTGGGCATGAAGATGTACTTTTCCCTGATCCTTGAACTAGTTGCAACTGGCTCCAACCAGAGCGCAATTTCCCATTATCTTGAAAAGATTTTGCTGTGGTTGAGATCATATGATATGCACCTTGATCGCAACCCTGGGTACATGGGTCGAAATTGGGTACACAAAAATGGGATGGTTTGCACCAAACGATTTATAATATTTAATAATAAAATGATCAGTCCATCTAGTGTAATGCCTGGGTTTTCAACCTTGACATCTGACATATTGGGTATGGGTCAAGATTAATGATGATTAATGCACCAATGGGCCCACACATTTGGTTCTTCTTGTTAGCTAAACCATCCATTTTGGACGTGCAACAATGTGTTGAGCAAGACTCGGACGGGGATATCACCAGCATTATTACTGACAAGAGATTCCCATGGCTCAAAATTTCAACCCTCCAAATTGGGTTGGTTTGGCACTTATGATTTAGAGACTTTTGCTCTTCGGCACCTCACCTTTGTCTTTGTATAGATTTGTGCCATTCCCATGTTCTGGGCGACACGTTCGCCAGGTTCCTGCCCACCAACCTGGCTTCACTTGGATTCTCTGCAACAATTTTGATACCCTGTGTTTCACCGTCTGTCCATATACTGTCCCATGATACAGCTAGAATAAGTATAACAATATCCCATACACGGCAGAATCCCCAGATTTTGTCGCCACAACTGCCAAGCATCTGAGCGGGCGACCTCGACTTCGTCGGCGGCCACTTTTCACGAGAGTCACTCCTTGGCGGCCACTTTTCAAAAGAATCTTAGCTGAATCTACGGGGTACGTATACATATCCTACGCGGCCGCGTATGCAACACATGCAGTATGTAATTAAAACGCATGTGAATGTGAAACATATGTGATTTGCGCACCAAATGAAACATACAAGTTTACGTTTATGAATTTTATGAAACGTATGTAATGCGCATGTGAAGCGCACGTGGATGGTATGTTTTTCGTTGTGAAAAGATGTGAACCTTACGTGAAGCATATGCGAAACAAGTGTGAGACATTAACTAACGTGCTTTGCGACTGGATTGCGTTATGTTTAAGTTTAAGTCGGGGGGAAAATATTGCCTTATTTTATGCAAAGATCTAACTTTTGGACCGTACGTAAAGAAATGTAAAGAACAACAGAAACAGAAACATTAGCAAAACGCAAACGATAAGGCAAACACATGTTGTTGCATCTATGTTTGTACTTGTGTATGTGTTTGCGATTTTTATGTCATGTGCTTGTATGCCTGGAGAAAAATAAGACCTTACTTTGCACAAATAAGATCTTATGTTGGCCCTCACGTAAAAGAAACGCACATAAAAATTCAGCCGCTAACGGCAATTTCTGGATATGTCGGGAATGTGAATACGCGTTTTCTTCGCGCCGTTTATGTGTGCATATGCCCTGGCCAGTCCAAAACGGGTTCTATTGTGGAAGCAATTGAAAATTGAAATTCTGCTAACATCTCAATTCTGTGTGTACATTCATAGTAGATATTATTTTTTATACAAATATACATGTACTTGTACATGGCTATATCTTTCTGAATATTATATATATAGATACATAATCATACATACTGTATCATACTGTACCATATCGTCCGACCCCGGTAGACATCAGGGGGAGTAGGCAGCGGGAATAAACGGTTCTAGTTGTTGTGACACTGGTGTCAAACTACGCGTCAATAAGGTTGACCATGCAAAGCGATGGTGGCAAGATGGTGGCAAGCTGACATGCATCTTTGCGTGCTTTGAAAGCAGTTTCTTCTCAAAATCTATGACGCATTTTGTCACCAAACTGTTGGAGGTAATGCCACATTCTGGCGAAGTTTCAAATGTTCGATGACTTTTCTCGTATGCATATATGTGTTAGAAATATACGTGTAGGCATACGGTATATTGTCTGCACGAAGCAGTCAAAAGCTGCATGTACCTCACCCAGCTTCCCTTTGTTGGCTACACCTGAGTTTGTCTGAACATAGGGTACCACCTCAATTCATGGCCATGGAAAGGGGAAAATGACCAAGCAGAGAAAACCACCTGGCTTTATACCTCCTGTATTCCTTTCGTTGCACATCATCTTGGAACTTGTAATATAAGTCACGCCAATTGTGCTTATCCTGAAGAGCTCCTGTAGCATGTTGTATCTTGTGCATGTAGTGACCCGCACCCGACTTTCTCTGTCCGACAAGAGTCCAAGTAGTGTGGCTGTAGCAAGCCTCCACAGGATTGCAGTTCAGGTGGGGGACTTCAGTATTTTGTCGTGCCACTCTGCATCAAAGATGTTGGGAAGGCACACCTTGGAGCAGGACCTTATGGTGAAATCAACATGTTCAAATCATGTTTCATCGCTGAAAAGACGAAAGATGACGAAAGGATGATATGACAGGACCAGCTAAAGAGAGAACAATCCAACCACATCCACCACCCTGTCCTGCCAACTGCAGCACCCTCTCCATCTGCGCCAGTTCTGCGCCAGCTCCTTCTGCAAGGAGTCTCAACGAGCCGACGCTCCTGAAGCTCCTGTGACGGGTTGAAGCACGCGGCAGGCTCTTCGCACAACTAAATTTGTCCAAGGATGGTGGACTCACCCCTGCTTTTTGGCAATTTTAATCAGAGAGTTACGACAGTGGACTTTTGGGGTATCCCGTTTTGGGAGCGTCCAAGTGACCTTCAATGTCTTAGCTTGGCATGGGTTCAACGGCTATAGTTTGGCATGGGTTCGTACAATGGAAAGTGCGATGTGAGAATTCGGCAGTGAGAAATTGTCTGACGGATTGAACCATCAGTTGGTAGGCTTAGTGGCTAACGGTGGCATGTGTCAACCCCAAGGTGTTCCAAATTAAATGTGCTTCCACTTCCCGGATATGCCGCTCCTGCACAGATGCGGACAGTGTGCTCGACGTAGTGCACAAGCGCAATGCCATGATGGACGGTCGCAAACCCGGCTGTGTCTCTTTTTACAGAAAGTAGTGTGATTCTACCAAGGCGTTGGTCACACAAACGAATTCAACATTGCAAAATGCTTCCAAATCAATATCTAGGTATATGCAACATCTGCACTTTGGATCATGAAGCAGCGTGTTTGGATGTGAGCATGTGCAACTGTTGTTGCTGGTCTAAGTCTCTTGAGCGGCCGCGCATCACCATGACCAGCAACACACGGAGTACCTACTTGCGCACACCTAAGAAGGTACCTCGAGGAGGATTGGTGAGATAGATTGATATACAAATAATTAATATATAGATACAATATATATATATAATATATAATATATACATATTCATTAATGCTATATATGGATCTGTATGGTAGATTATATAATATCCATGCGTAGTGGGTCTATGTGGTCTGCCCAGAATCTTGTAGAGAATACTAGATGCATGTCAAAAACTGATCAGCCAGACATATTATAGTTGTAATAGTTAAACTGGCATCTCATAGAATTTGACTGGGAATGGAGAAGGAAATGTCAACCAACCCTACTTCTGTGAAAATCTGCGTTACCACCAAGTCCATCTGTTACATAACATGTGATTCTAGTTCTCTTCAACAATCTAAAAAATCATCAAATCCAAAAGAAGTTTAAACCGTTCTTCCACGTGACCGATTCAACCTACAGCGATCTGCCATTGCTCTGTGTTGCAGCAAACTCAAAGGAACACCAGCTGAATCCATGGTCTTACTCCCATTTAAGCTGCAGAGAATCAGATTGGCCAATGAGTTACGTTGGCGCAGACTCTTCTATACTGTGGGTATGGCTCAATGGCTCCATATCCCCAAAAGAAGTTGGATGGTTTAATACCAAACATGACCATAGCCCATTTCCCAGAAGTAGATCATTTAGATAATTTAGATAGGGCTGACCGAAGGACCAGCATCTCCATGATATCACCAGGTTGGCTGGCCTGGTGAACCTTCATCACTGTCACCTCAAATGCACGAACGAACTCACGAAGTTTGCTTCCTCTCCCAACAAAATCCAGTGGATTTCAGGGGACCATTGTTTTGATTGCACAAATTCACACCTAAAGGTCTCCGAATGGGTTCTATGACAAGTATGTAACAGTACGTGGTGTTTGGAAAACATTTGGCCAACTACCGATAGATCCATGAGGCAACAGTTTCAAGACACATGGGGGCAAGCAGGTTTTTGACAGGCAGGATACAGAGTGTCATCACACTGAGAAAATGCAGCTCAGTTTGCTCGAACGCAACACTCAGATGCAGGCCATTGTTTACAGGTGCCTCTGGAATTTGGTTTTCCTCTGGAATGGGTTCTGCCTCCTGTAGAAACCCCAATGGAGCTCCACGGCCAAAACGGCACATCGTGACAAGATTCTGCTCGCATCAGGCAGAGTAGTGTGTTGCCCGTGTCACAATGTGTGACAGTACGTCAGTACGCAACTCATGCGCTTGTATTACTGATTCCACTCCTCCAAGACTCATGAACTATTCAATTCTGGTTGGCGTCTTGGTCCTTGCGTTGCTAGAACTTGACTTCCTTATACAACGTTCTCTTGTGGACTCCGTTGTAGACATCGGATGGTATCGGATCATCATCATCCCTTGTCTCAAAACATTCCAATGGCATCGGCTCCTGAGTGGCGTGTTGTGAACCCTCACTGATCTCGCGCCTGGCAATCGGGAGACAAGCCGCTGTGTCGACACAAAGCGTAGTCACCAGTCTACTTCACAAGATGTCAACATGATAATGATCCGATAAAAGTACATGTCGCAAAGCCTTGTAACATATCGAATACATAGATGATGATGCTGTAACATGTAGCCAAAAGCCATCCTATCTGGCAAAATATAGTTCACCTATCTGGCAAAATATAGTTCATATTTATAATTATATATATACAATTATATATATATACAATTATATATATATATATATGCATCATATTGCATCATTATATTGTGCATATGCTTGCTGTTTGCTCACATTTGAATGTAGCTGCGCGATCCTGCAAGATGCGCACACTTGGTATTAAACATACAGATGAAGTCGTGTTGAACCCACGAAACAAATTAAGTCGACACTTTGTTCCTCGGGCGTTTGAACAGCACACCTAGCAGCACAGATCCGAATGAAAAGTTCGTTGAGACCACTTTGACTTTTACACTTGACACTCACAATGTTCGAGTTCGTGGCATTACCAACTCAAGAATCTTAGTCTGATCATCATCTGCGAGATGGAAACAGGCCAACCAGATTTGGGCATTACCAGCACCAGCACCCCCTGACCCCTTGAATTCGTGACGCGGCCTCATGGTGAGTTTGCGCTGCAGGTCAAAGTCTTCGAGCTGGCTTTCCTGCAAGGGGTCTATCTAGGTGCAGAAAGGCTTCAATGTCTTTTGAAAAAGCAAGCATTGAAAAAGTTTGATCGAAGTTTCAGAACCCACTCTACATAATTATACTATCATTCATAGTGTTCGAACGGCTCGAAGAATGGCCATTTTCCCTAAATCAGTGGGCACTAAAATTCCCCCTTGGGGCGCTGGAAATGTCGCACCTCAAAGGCAAGTTGCTGCTCGGCTTCTTCCAGCGTGAGACCTTCGCTGATGGCTCGCCTGGACATGCAATGAATGCGTTGCATATCGTTGCATGGTGTCTTTGTCATTCTTTGTCGCCCGTTGAGGTTGAACATGGTTGAACCAAGATGAACCAAGCATAGCTCTTTGCCAAGTTCGAAGGCCAGAGGACTACAGAGATGCTTGCAGACTTCGTTCCAGTTTATTTTGCAAGATATTTCAAATGCATTCTCTTGCAGTTTTTGTCTAGCACCCAAAACCCAGCACTACAGAATTACCTCGCGTAGCGTACCAGTACCGACCAGTACCTTGCAGCCCTCTGCAGATCTCTGCAGCCCCCTGCAGACCCCCAGCCTGAGCTTCAACTTCTTGTGCAGGTCAGGATCCTGCGGGCACCACGTGGTCCAAGGCATCCTATCTGTGCCTGTTGACCTTGTGGTACTGCAGCCACTTGTGCCTGTGCATGTTGTTCCTTTCATCATCCAATCAAATGCATACTGACATCGTGATGTGTTTAATTTTCACGGAAACTCCTTCAAACTCAACTATCTTCTGGCTCAACGAGTGGAACACATTGCAATATGTTCTTCGCAACAAGCATCTGTCCGTAAAGGCCAAGTGTTCACCGACTTTCTTTCCAGTCACCTCGCAATGCTTCAAGCTTGGCCATTGTTCCTGCAACCGCAACTATTGATGGAGTGGTCATGATGCTTGATTCGATCACCCTGCTGTGATGGGGTCCAAGTTCGAAACCAGTTTATCCAGTTTATCCATTTCATACTCCAGAGTGCTCAGAAGTTCATGGTCACACCTAAACTTAAGCAACATGAAACACTTCCCTTGGGATCTCTGATTCCATGTACGTTTGTTATGTGTATAATGTATATACTATGTATATGTACTATATATGAAAATGTACTGTATATTAAAATGTATATGAATATATCTAAGAATATCTAAGTGTATGGTCTAAGTATGTGTATTATATTATGTGCATGTTAATGTGTATGCAATTAGATGTCTATGCATATGCAACATGTACGCCACAGGTAGTTAAAAAAAGAAAAACACATATATATATATATGTAATGCAAAACACATATGTACTATATATACTGCATTGTGATAGAGAATATCAATACTGTATATGTGTGTAGATGTGTAGTTGATATGTATAGTAGATCGGTGCCCTCTACATTGGCAGCTGCATAGCTCCTGCTGGTTTTCCGGCATAGGCAGAGTCGACGTGCTGTCCTGGCGAAATGGACCACCATCAAGCATCATAAGTATCCAAATGCTTGTCCCTATGGTATATCTTATTCTTATATCATTCTTATATTACTCTTATTGCATCTTACTCCTATAATGGCTGTTATCACATGTTTCACTATTTTGGCTGCTTTATCATTAAACTGTTCACTGCCGATGATATAGGCTGGATCCCAAGAGCACCATCAAAACTCTGTGAGGTTTGCACTGAATTGCCATTGATCCTTTGAGATGTCTCTGAGCAGCGCAGATATCACGAAAGATGGGGCTTGGAGTTTTGTCCTACATTATATAATCATGGCATTGCACTTAGTTCACACTTCCCACCATTTGCCAGCATGATTGGGGGATAATTGCTCTTGGATGCTATTGGATCTCACACATTTGTGATTCCCGAAGCCATTCGTTCGCCTGGCGTTGCCACTTCACTCTGGCAGTTGCAGCTGCCTTCAATTTTCTCCCAGTTGCATTAAGGTTATCAACTGAACTGCCACGTTTGTTGAGTTTATGCCTGCAAAGTTGACTATTTGATTTTAAAATATTTAAAATCTGTTCATTGTGAACCAAATTCATTGAAATTCATCATCCGAATGCGAAATTGGCAAAACACTAAATACATCTGAAGACTTCTTCAGTAGGATGCAAAATGACCTTGTGATGACACGAACATCGATTTCAGTCTGACCGACTGGTAGCTGGAGAACATTACACCAAAGCACAGATCGTCTCTACACCCACCCTACGATTAAGAAATTAGGTCATTAGATATCATGAAACTATGCTCAACTATTCAACTATTCTGAAGCATATGCAAGTTGATAATCGGATATAATCGGATATTGGTACTGCATGGTACTGCATGGTACTGCTTCAGGTGCACCTCCAGTTCTTCGGCAACTCTTCCTTTCTGTTCCTCGCACAATGGTTTGTTCTGAGCCAACCTGCGAAATACATCGCAATACACCATCAAAATATCGCCAAACAAAGTTGCCACGACGTTTTTTTACAGCAATGCTAACAATTATCGCAGTTAGCATCCTCTGCCACTTCCTACACTCAACAAAAGCTGACAGGTCTATGCGCCGGAACGTGCTCCGAAGAAACATGCCCGGCAAATTCCTCAACGTGTACAACGGACTGAAAACAGCTTCCAAAAATGTCGTTCCATCTGGACAACACCTTGGAAAGTCAAGAAAAAAATCATTGAACAAATAAACAGGCTCATTTGCAGAGGCTTACAGTCTGCTCACCAGAGTATGCCGACTGCAAATCACTGTGACCGTTAAAAATTGCCACTGTTTTAGTCACAGGACACTAAAACGCCACTCAGAACACCTGGCAACATTGGGTGCCACAGTCCTCTGCAATTTGATGCTCCTCGTTGAACTTACCAGGCGGTTGCCACTCTCTTACCTCCTCCTCCTCCTCCTCCTCTTCCTCATCTCAAATGCATATCTGGATGAGCAGACTTGTCATGTGTTGGTCTAGACTGCAGTACAAATCCTCCATTCCAAAGTGTGCCAAAATGCAAGGTTAGATTCATTTAACAAGTTTGGCTAGTTGTATGAACAAAGCACCTGGTGTTATCACAGAATACTTTCAAGTACTGTTAGAAGAAAGGACACACAGTGCCTACATTGAGTGAACTCATGCACACCATGCAGTCTGGCAGTGTATGGGCCATTGCAACACGGCCATGCAGTCTTCTACAATTTGTTCGTCCTCGTCACCCTCGTCAGGCATTGCCCAATCTCTTACCTCCTCCTCCTCGTCCTCACGTGCAGGTACCAAATGTATCCACATGTATCCAATATCGCAAGTGGAAGAAGTCCAGAGTGCAAAATGTTACTAACAAAATCTAACAAATCTGAAATACACTTCGAAATTCAGAATTTCAGGGCATCGACGGCATTGACATTGGAATGATCCCCGGAAGGTTTGCGTCATTTTGAGGACTCGGTCAAGTGGACGCCAGTGGCCAATGGAAACAGTATGGAAACAGTACTGCACCCAATTGTTCAGTGGACATCCTTGCTAAGCAAACGGTCAAACAAGTTCTATGAAGACCATTGAAGACCTATTATTGCCAATGAGGCTGTGAATTTGAGAATGACGAGAGCATAATTTGATATAATTTGTAAGCACATCCACTTGCAACGGGAAAGGAAAATTGCATTTGCATTCTGTGACGAAGAAGAAATGCATGCTTCGCTGGGGCCAACGGGCAGTCGCAGTCTATTAACCCGTGTCCTCAATGGGAGCATGCTCTGGGGCAGCGTCCTATAATCAACAAATTCACAAGCGGATGCTGAAGAAACACAGCATCGGTCATCTATCCAATACCAAGGACAATATGGAAGCCACTTGAAGAGATAGTTTGAGGCAGAAATCCGTGTCTTAAGAAAAAGTAACAAATTTAATCCTCAGACTGCACTGCGCTACACAGGCATTGTGCTGATTTGATAACCTGTGATAAGGCATCAAAGCATAAAGGCATGTATACAGGTGCGGTCATCTTAGGTCGCCAGGATCTGTTGACAAAGGTAGCTCTGCAAATCCATGCGAAGTATGCAAACGCCCTTGGAAAGATTTGGAAAGCATGCCAACCAGCGAGTCCTCTCGCATCTTTTCCTCCTTCTCTTCTCGCATCTTTTCCTCTTTTTCCTCTCGCATCTTTTCCTCAGGCACGTCTTCTTCCTCCTCCTCCTCATCCTCTTCGTCCTCTTCGTCCTCCGGCTCCTACTTTCAAATACATGGCTGCGGCAGCTTAAATGATTCGCATATTTTCACAGAACATATCTTTTATGAGAAATGTTTGCAGAACAGAAGGTCCGCGGTCCATTCAGCAAGTTGCATCCTTACAAACGAAATGCTATTGTGGAGCCCGCAAAAACCAAACCAGTCAGGGCTGACAGTTTTGCACCACGTGCATCCACTTGAACCGGAACAGGAGCATTTGCTCTCGAACCACAAAAAAATATCAGAAAAGCGGTAAAAAACATTCTTCGCTGTAGCCATCCGTGGCTATGCAACCCTCGTCCTCAATGGGAGCATGCTCTGGGGCAGCCTCCTGTAATCAACAGATTCACAGCGGATGCTGGAAAGACACAGAATGGGGCATCTATCAGCAAAGGGCAAAGACCTGGAATTATAGTGATCAGGGTATCCAAACATCTTGTGATTGACAGCTGTTGGTTCAACATAACAAACCCATATCAAGTGACATCACGGAACCAGCTTGGAGAGTTCTCTGCGACAGGAATCCATGTTGGAAGATTGATAAAATATCAACAGGCACGACTGCGGCATCCAGGTTTAGCAGCTTTGCTCTCTTAACTTTTATTTGTTCGCTTTATACCCCAAACATCTCCAATGAAGTAATTGGCAAGCATGCCAGTGCAATCAGTCCTCTCGCATCTTTTGCTCCTTGTCTGCTCCCTTTTTTTGTTGCATCTTTTCTTCTGGCACGTCTTCTTCCTCCTCCTCCTCATCCTCTTCGTCCTCTTCGTCCTCCTGCTCCTACTTTCAAATTTTAATGGCAGCAGCAGCTTAAATGTTCGCAGATTTTCACAGAACATATCTTTTATCAGAACCCTTTGCAGAACACGAGATCTGGGATCCATTCAGCAAATTGCATCGTTGCCAACAAAAAGCTATGGGGCTATGGTGGAAACTGAGAGACTCAAAAGCAGTCAGCGCTAGGAGTGCTGGCACACGTGCATCCACTTGCACCGGAACAGTAGCATTCTGATTGCACTTGAATCACAGAAAAAATCACAAAAGATCAGAAAAACAAGTAAACAAATACATGTTTCGCTGTAGCCATCCGTGGCCCAACTGGCAGTCGCAGTCTATTCAACCCGTCTCCTCGATGGGAGCATGATCTGGGGCAGCGTCCTGTAATCAACAGATTCACAGGCGGATGCTGGAAAGACATAGCATGCAGCATGGGGCATCTATCAGCAAATACCTGGCATATCCTGGCATAATAACGATGAGGATATCCAAACATAATTATGGTTGATAAATATCAACAAGCTCGACTACGGCATACAGGCTCAGCGGCTTAGCTCTAATTTGCTTATTTTATACCCCAAAGATCTCCAATGTATGCAGTAGTAATTGGCAACCACGGCAATGCGATTAGTCCTCTGGCATCTCTTCCTCCTTCTCTGCTCCCATTGTTTCATCCTCTTGTTGCATCTTTTCCTCAGGAACATCTTCTGCCTCCTCATTCTCTGCGTCCTGTTCAAAAACATGGCTGTGGGAGCTTAAATCGCTTGGAAATTTTCACAGAATAAACATATCTCGAATCAGAAGCCTTCGCAGAACACGAGCACATTGCATCCAATAGCCATGGTGCACAAATACCAAACCAGTTTGGGCTGATAGTGCTGGCACACGTGCATCCACTTTCACCGGGACAGTAACATTATGATTGCACTTGAATCACAGAAAAGATCACGAAAGAGCAGTTAAAAATTGCAGGTTTCGCTGTAGCCATCTGTGGCCAACTGGCAGTCGCAGTCTATTCAACCCGTGTCCTCGATGGGAGCATGCTCTGGGGCAGCCTCCTGTAATGAACAGATTCACAGGCGGATGCTGGAAAGACATAGCATGCAGCATGGGGCATCTATCAGCAAATACCTATCCATACTGGAAGATTGATAAAATATCAACCGGCTCGACTACAGCATACAGGCTCAGCGGTTTAGCTCTAATTTGCTCATTTTATACTCCAAAGATCTCCAATGTATGTAGTAGTAATTGGCAACCACGGCAATGCGATTAGTCCTCTGGCATCTCTTCCTCCTTCTCTGCTCCCATTGTTTCATCCTCTTGTTGCACCTTTTCCTCAGGCACATCTTCTGCCTCCTCATTCTCTTCGTCCTCCTCGTGCTTCTCGTCCTCCCGCTACTTTCAAATACATGGCTGTGGGAGCTTAAATCGCTTGGAGATTTTCACAGAATAAACATATCTCAAATCAGAAGCCTTCGCAGAACACGAGCACATTG